TGAACCTGCTGTTTTCAGCTGTAACTGTAGAATGTTCTCAACTGATCACTGTCCTCTCCTAAGATGTACACATTAGACAAATTAGGTTTTAAAAGTTCAATTCTCATTCAAGTTTAAAGATTTCTCTGTTAAACATTGGTTTAGACAGAAAGTGTGTTGGAATTAGTTGGATACTGAATGGTTTAAACAGAGTATACCACTAACTTTACCATTTTCCTTCTCTCAGTGTGTTCAATGGGTGGACGAAGCCAAACTAAACCAAATGAGACGGGAAGGCATTCGCTATGCTAGAATTCAGTTGTGTGACAATGACATCTACTTCATCCCTAGAAATGTCATTCATCAATTCAAAACGGTGTCGGCAGTCTGCAGCTTAGCCTGGCACATAAGACTTAAACAGTATCACCCTGTGGAGGAGACTTCTCCAAACGCAGAAAGCAATTCAAGCTCGAACAGTAGTGTTCCTGGAAATCCAGAGGCAGAAGGTGAACCCCAATGTGTGAGTGTAAAAACAGAGTCTGAAGAACCAGGTATAGAAATGCAGCTTACACCAGGGGTGCTCTCCTCCTCTCTTTCTTCAATATCAGGACTTGTGCAACCAGATCAGGTGGCCCAGCCCCTTCCAGGTTTTAAAATAGAGTCTGATCAGCACCACAATCCACAGGATCATGCAGGCTCTGCTGTGTGATATGTATATAAGCAAACATTTTTTAACAACTTTTTAAAATTTTGATGTGAAGTTATAGTTTTATAACTGGCTTATGTTTTATTGGAGAAATCTTGCCTATAATTCTATAAAGAAAGGTGACATTCCAAAATGTCAAGCATATCTTTTTTACACAGATTATGCAAAATTCAAGTTGTATTTTAACCCCTTAGTACAACCTGTAACAGTGGTCTACCACTTCTTTCTGTTTAAGTAAAGAGATATTTAATATCTTCTCAAAGTCAGAATGAAATTCCTCCAGGAACATAAACCGATTAAACTACATTGGTCAGTGTTATTTCCCTACTTTTACTTTAGCTCTGATCTTCACCAGAAAGAGAGGTTTTTGTAGAAGACTTGCAAAGTGACTTTCCCCATTTCAGTTTAATTGCTTAAAAAAAAACCCCAACAACAAAAGAAAAAAGGAAAAAAAAAAAAAAGCACAGCACTTTGGATGATTTGTGAAACTTTTGGTATCTGTTCTTGACACGTTGGTTTATATACGAGTTGGGTTTATATATACAAGCTATAGAAACTGATCTCTTATTTCTTACAGTAAAATTAACTGAAGCAAGTGTCTGATCCTGTTGAAATGCAATGACTTACTGACCTAACACTTCTCATAGCACTGCTTACGTTGTTTGGTGTGAGGGTTTTGCTTCCAAAATCCATCTTCCCTGAACATGATTAATACTAGTGTCAAAATTAAAGAACTTATTGGTAGTCTTGTGGAGGAAACTGCTATCTTTGAGCACTTTAAGGCTTTAAAATACTAACCAACTTGGCAGCTTGTCTTGGTCAGGTCGTAATGTGTCCAATGAAACCACACTCTCCCTTGTACTGATGCACTTAATAGCGTTGAGTTGGTAACTGACTTACACAGTGCGGCTGTCCATATGCCAGGAAGTTCTGTATTACTCTTTCACAATAAAAAGTCTTGTGGCATTGAACTGCTTTTTCCATGAGTAGCTTCTGGGTGCCCAGGTACTGTGGAAAAAGCAGTGGCACATGCTAAATGTGTAGAGTGTCAGCTAGCAATGGTTTTTAACTGATCTTTCAATATTTCTGGATGTTACCGTGTAATCTGTACTTGACTTTCACTCACTCCATTTACTACCACCCTTTCGAGTCATCAGAAGGAAAAGTCCTGTCCCTTTCTTCCCTCCCTTCTCCCTCCCCACATTTAGAGTACAAGTTGGGTTTTGGTGCAACTTAAGCTGTCTCCAGATAACTTTATTTGTTCTAATCCTCACTGGGGTAGGAAAGATTTGAAACACTATGTTAGACTAGACAAAAGCAAAGATGCTGTGTTAGTTCTGGATGCATCTTTTTAATATCAATTATTACTCTTCTCTTTATAAGGGTCTCTAAAATATGTTACTCTATTATAAATCTTACTTTGTGCAATATTGTTTGTGTAGGCTTTTATATACATATTAGCACCTCAGTGTAGAGGTCACTATTTTAAACTGATAGAAAAATAATCAGAAGATACTGCAGTGATTAGTTAGAACCTGTATTACTCCTTATGTGTATGTATGTATTGTCTTCGGTACAAAATGAGGACTAGGAAATATTTCAATTTAAAACTAATTTACAGATTGAAGTGGTAGTGACTTGTTTAGTAATCTGTGTAAATAAGGTGTTAGAATGGAGAGCTTTTATGATAAAAAGTAATGTGATTCATGCAGGGGTGTAATTTAATCTTAGCAGAAATTCTAGATGACCCAGACGGGTTCATAAATGAGCCGTCTGTTCTCTGGTGGGTTTTTTTCCACTTTTTATGTTGAGAGGAATTTCATAGCTTTAAGGGTTGTGCAAAGTAAAGTTCCTCACAGGCAATAGCGGTTTCAGTTCATCCTCCACCTTCAAAGATTGCATTATCTAAGGGTGTTCTTTCCTTTTTCTGAAGTCTGCTAGTCTTCCAAGTGCCCATTTCACTTCTCACATGTGCTGTTCTTTGGTCATGTCAGTAGAGGTGCATCAACTCGGTGGCCGTTTGTTGACAGCCAGCACTGCATACAACCACTCAGGAACCGACACATCTGCAGATCCCACAGCGAGTCTGCAAACATCACTTTAAAGGAAGAATAAACAGATTAAGAGCCCCCATACGCCAACTTGTCTGTCTTATAGTGAGAGTTGAAACAGGATGGAGAGGGAATTGATTTGGAAGGTCTCTGTAAACTCTTACAGCATGTTTCCCAGTGGATGAAGGAAGAAGACCAGAGTGGCTCATGTCGCTTTCAAAACTGTAGGCTTAGTGAAATCTGTGACTACAGCCTGAAATAAAAGAAACTGCTCTGACTTACCTCTTTGGATGGAGGGACATGACTGGTAGCATCGTGCTCTCTTTCGGTTCCATTTACTTACTAACTTAATATCTAATGTCAGATTTAAATATAGAAATATATCTTCAAATGTCTTGACTGTTGCTGATGCTGTTCTAGCGTGTTTAAGAGAGGAGGAAACTTGATAAGAATCTCTTGCCTAACTACGTTATCAGCTTTGATACGCTTGAACCAAGATGACATTTCAAACTCCACCTCAGTTCTGGATGTGAAGTATGACAGGGGTTGCTTGTGAAGCTGATTGCTACAGCTAGACAGCTGCTGTTTCAAGGTGACTTCAACTGCACTGAAAACAACAGAGCAGAGTTAGAGCAATGCCTCTGTGAAAGATGCACATGTTTTCCAGAACAAGACCTGTGCTATACTGGTTTTCATAGGCTGTTTAGAAATGAAGTAATCAGTTCAGGCCACTTAGTGTTTGCTGAGCAGAACAAATCTCTGGATAGGTCCAAGTAACTGTTTCTGATCTCTCTGGTGTTAAAAAGCTGTCTGTTCTCTAAGATGTCATACAACAGCCTGTGTAATGAGATAATCAAACTCTGGCAAATGTCATGGCTTGTTCTTCGTGCTACCCAGGTAGATGCAGACCAGTTTGTGAACATGGATCCTGCAAATCCTCAGTTCTCCAGTTATGACTCTGCCTTGGGATGTGTGTGTGAGGCTGGGGAGCGGGAAACCCTCCTGCTTTATGCTGGAGACAACTGCTGAGTGACCAAGTGCCCTGTGTAGAGATCCATTGGCTTGGATGTGTGAACTCGGGCTTAGGCTGTGAGGTAAAGGGTGTTGGTGGAAAACATCACTTGGGATAAGGGTGAGTGGCTCAGCAGGGCTAGAAGGGGGCTAACAAAATGCAGTTTAAAGATGAGATACCTGTTAGCTTCCCTTTGCTCTCTCCTTTAGCCACGCCACAAGTCAGTTTGAGTGGATCCTTGACACGTGCTCTTCCAGGAAGGTGGGACACTCGGTGCAGTGTTCTCAGGGGATTTCTAATCACCATTTGCCACAGGTGTAGATCTTGCCATACAGAAAAGGGCTCTCTGCTGTGCTCTTCACCTTCCCTGCTGTTACGCTTTAGTTCCCCCGGACAAGGCAGATTGACGGAGCTTTCGCATGGGCATGAGCCCTTCATCTGGCCCTGCCTCCTCGTGTCAGGTCTCAACCAACCCAGTAATAAACCCTGGAACTGTGGTTTCCATGGAGTGCAAAGCGTTGGCAGCTTGGGGACCAGCTCAAGGGGTGCGAGAGGAGGGGACGGCTTGGTTCTGCTCCCCAAACCCCACCGGGTGTGACCCCCCCATAGCACAGCACCCATGGGCCATGGCACGGGGGTGAGGAGGTGCCCGCAGGAACACCGAAACCCCTTTGCTTTCTCTGTACAACGTGTAAAGAGACTTGTGTGTTGCTGTTTCTTTTTCTTTTTTTTCTGTGATATTTTAGTTTGGTTTTGATGGGCAGCTACGATTTTTACGTTTTGTTTCTGTGGTTTTTAATTTATCGGCGGTCTCTGCCTCCAGAGGACGCGGACCATTGCCTGGGAGCCTGTCTGCTTTGTGCGGCCTTAGGGTATTTATTGCCGGGAGCGAGTGTTTCCGCTCGGGCCTCTCCGTGAGTAACGCAGCGCATTTCTGTCGGTAGCCGCCTGTACCCGGGTCTCGAGCTGTTCCGCCGCTTCTCTGTCAAATAGGCCGACGGAATGCATAGAGGTTTTTTCCTGTAAAGTATTTTTTTAATAAACAAAGTCTGATTTTTGTCCTTTACCCGCCTGCCTCCCTCTGTTCGCTGCGGGACCGGCGCTCGGCGCTCGGCTTGTGCTGCCTGCGCGGGGCGGGCCGAGCCGAGCCGAGCCGAGCCGAGGGCAGGCGGAAGCAGTCGAGCGGCGGTCTCCAGGGTAACGGGGGCTGGGGCTGGCGCCGGGGCCGGTACCGGGAGCAGGCCCGGGCGCCCCATGGCCGCTCCCGACAGGGATGCCATTTCCTGGTACCAGAAGAAGGTGAGTGCGGAGCGGGGAGAGCGGGCGCGGGCCCGGCCGTGCCCTCAGCCTCCTCTCCTTCCAGATCGGGGCCTACGACCAGCAGATATGGGAGAAGTCCATCGAGCACACCGAGATGAAGGTAACGGCGGCTCCCGGAGGCCCGGGTTCGGCTCCCCTCGCAGCCGGTAACAGGCCTTTGTTTTCGTCTTCTTAGGGCTTAAAAAGCAAGCCTAAGAAGAAGGGTCACATTCAGCCTGATCTGATCGACGTGGATTTAATCAGAGGTGAGAGATGCAGGTCTCTGCCGTGCCAACACAGCCGTTACCGCACCGCGGCCTGGTGCAGGGCAGCCGGCACCTCCTCTGGAGCCATTAAGTGCTTGTCCAGTCGTAGAACCATAGAATAGTTAGGGTTGGAAAGGACCTGAGGATCATCCAGTTCCAACCCCCTGCCATGGGCAGGGACACCTCGCACTAAACCATTCTGGCAGCAGCAGCACCGAAGCCCCACAGCTCAGCATTGAGAAGGTGCCTGGTCCTCGCTAGCACTGGTGCAAAAGGAGCAATGGGAGCCTGAACGCAGAGGCAGGAGGGATGCAGGGAGCTGGTGAGAGCAGACTGGGGTAGGGAGGGGAAGGGGCCGCAGCCAGGACTGCTTTTAGCCCTGAGTGGTGGGGCTGTGTAGGTTGGAGTGCCTGCAGTTGGGCTGCAGTCACCTCTCTGAACTGCAGGGTTTGCCCTTGGCCAAAGAGGAAGTCATAGAATAGGGTTGGAAAGGACCTTAAGATCATCCAGTTCCAACCCCCCTGCCATGGGCAAGCCGTAAGTGCAGAAATTCCTGTGATTCACTTGTTTTTCCTTCAATCCCAAGGCTCTACGTTTGCTAAAGCCAAGCCTGAAATTCCCTGGACATCACTAACCCGGAAGGGAATCGTGCGAGTTGTGTTTTTCCCATTATTCAGCCAGTGGTGGATACAGGTCACTTCCCAGCGTATTTTTATGTGGCTCCTGGTGCTCTATGTTATGCAAGGTAAGGGCTGGTAGCAGCCTGTGCCACAATCCTTTCTCTGCAAGAGTGACATCAGTTTGTAGCCTGTCACCTAAAGCATCAGGATCTGCAACCTGCTTAATGTAGATGTCAGGACGTGTGGCACCATACCAATAACATACAGAAAAACTGTGTTAAAAGGCAGCAGACAGAGGAACTGGCCACGCTCTTTTGCATCTGATACCATTTTCTCCCTTTCAGTCATAGCAGTTGTGTTGTATTTCATGATGCCTGTGGTGAACGCAAGTGAAGTCATGGGACCGATGTGCCTTATGTTGCTGATGGGAACTGTGCACTGTCAAATAGTGTCTACCCAGATCAATAGACCTTCAGGAAGCAACGGGCTCAGCAGGCGGAGGAGGTGAGTGGCGTGACAGGGTTATAATGGTGGATTGCTCAGGGTGGATGTTAATGGGTAAATACCTTCTATTTCTATGTAAATGGGTCATTTAACCATTAATGTGTATTTTCTGTCTTGGTCATAATCTTCTCATAACCCAGACAAATAGTGCAGGTTTACTAGGCTGTGACTGGTCGTCTTCAGTTGTCAGTTGAAGTTTCTTTCTGACGCAGCCCTTTAAATGTCTTTTCTCTGTGGCTAGAGGAGGGCATTCTGTGCAGAAAGGCAAACCAGTCTGGTGTCCTGCTTTGGTGTGAACTGCAGGGAATTGCTGATGTGGACTGAGAACAGAGAAACAGGACAGAGATAGAATCAGAGAATAGTCAGGGTTGGGAAGGACCTTAAGATCATCCAGTTCCAACCACCCTGCCATGGGCAGGGACACCTCACACTAAACCATGGCACCCAAGGCTCTGTCCAACCTTGAACACCACCAGGCCTTGAACACCACCAGGGATGGAGCATTCACAACCTCCCTGGGCAACCCATTCCAGTGCCTCACCACCTTCACAGTAAAGAACTTCTTCCTTAGATCCAATTTAACTTCCCCTGTTTAAGTTTTAACCCGTTACCCCTTGTCCTGTCATTACAGTCCCTAATGAAGAGTCCCTCCCCAGCATCCCTATAGGCCCCCTTCACACACTGGAAGCTGCTCTGAGGTCTCCATGCAGCTTCTCCTCTCCAGGCTGAACAGCCCCAACTTTCTCAGCCTGTCTCCATACAGGAGCTGCTCCAGCCCCTGATCATCCCCGTGGCCTCTTCTGGACTTGTTCCAACAGCTCCATGTCCTTTTTATGTTGAGGACACCAGAACTGTGCACAATACTCCAAGTGAGGTCTCACAAGAGCAGAGTAGAGGGGCAGGATCACCTCCTTCGATGACTGTGATGGATTCATTGCTGGCAGTTTGTTCGTGTAGGAGATGTTACAGTCCATCTGCTAGATATTTAACTGTTAGGTGTCTGACTCAATTTGAACACTGGTACAGCGTAGTCAAACACGGGATGATGGATGTGGATAGAGTTTTCCCTCCTTTAGAGTTCTACAGCAAAGATTTTGTCTGGATTTTGGCTGTTGCATCTTTTGCTAGTGATAACACCGATGTCCTGTGGGTATGTGCATAACTTCAGTTCATCCAAATAACATTCTACTTAATTTGGAACCAAGCATTCTGTCTGCATGACTGAAGGAAAACAGCATCCGAAAAGCTGGCCAGATCTGATTCAGATCTTTTAAGAATGACCCCCAAGCAGCTTGCTATGCAAATTTAATTCTCCTTTTCTCAAAACTCAGGAAGTTACGCAAATCTGGGGGTGTCGATGGGAACAGTTGGTCTTCTCCTGACAAAACCAGGAAAGAAGAGCAGTCAGAGCCTGCGTCCATTCTTAACAATCTAGTTAGTGTGCTTTTCCAAAGGAGGTATGTGATCTTCACTGGGTTTGTTGTATGCCTGACACTGCAAACCATTTGATATCTAGGTAATGAAGACAGTCCCTACAGGCTGCCAGTTAGTTCTGAACTCAAAGCATGTATTGTAGGAGGCTGAATCCTCATGAATTTTTACTGTGTCCTTATTAGGAGATCAGACCCTATCTCACAGTGTAGCTAAACTGAGTGTTGGATGAGCAGAGGAAGTGACAGAGCTTATTTCTGTGACCTAGCTTGAATGCATGTGCTCAAGTTACTGTTTCAGCTGATTTCCAGGAGCAGTTGTGCCTTCTCATTTAAGTTGCTTGGATAGGCATCCCGCTTCCCCACCTTCCCTTCTGGAGAAGTAACTCAAGGACAAGGAGGATAGATTGTTTGGGATAGTATTTTACTGTCTTCTACTGTTTCCTCTGCTGAGTTTCTGGATGAGAGGTCCTTTCTTTTGACAAGGATTTTTTGTTGTCTGAATTGCACTTCTTTCTTTCTAAATAATAACAAGAAAAGATTTCCCTCTGGGTTTAGAAGTTTTCAGGTACTATTAGAGTTAGAAAAGCAGCATCCAGGGAGAGTGAAGCAGATACAAGTGCCTTGAACAGAATCAGGACACAAAGAGCCTGTCAGCAGAAGACAATTACCTATTCCCTCAGCTGTATTGTTTCATGTTGTACCTGGGTGGCAAGTGAAAGAGAGCATGGTGCTTTCCTCAAAGAGTTTCTCTCTGACATAAAAGCATTTAATTGTGTTTTCTCTCATAGGATTAGAAGAGTGAAGTTGGTAGCTGAGAAAGGGACTGAGACAGAGAATAGTGTGAATGGTGTGAATAATGGCATTAAACACAGACCGGCCAGATCTGAATACAGGCTGCTGCACTTCAAAGAGAAAAAGAAGCTTTCTGATGGGGAAAAGAGCCATCAGGTACCTGCAGGAAAGAGCCATTCAAAGTCACAGGTTTCAGTATATTCTGTCTGTGCCCCAAAAGATGTTGATATTTAACTGTGTGGTTTGATACAGCTGCCTTCTACTGATCTTTGCTTGCTTATAGGAAACCTAAAACCCCTTTCTCCTTCTTGACTGAGCAGCTGACATGGTGCTGACACTTTACTGTCAGTCAGCATTGTTCAATCTGTTATAATAGTCAGGTATTATGGGAAATGCCTGTATTGCCAACGTGCTCGTTTGGTTGCGGAGCCTTCTGCTCACAAGATGTTCAGTTACAGAAGATTCTGATCTTCTTTAAGATAATGATTAAAAATAAATGAGCCATTTTTCAAAAGCACTTCTGCAAAATAATTTGCCTTGCAAGCAGTTCCCTGCAGTGACCTCTCAGTGGGAGGCAGGAAAGTAAAGACTGAAATATCCTTTGCGAAGAGAGCTAAAGCATGGTGACCTCTCTTGAAATCCCTACAATATAAAGCTTTGTGGAGTTACTTTTGGGGCTCCTTTGAGTTGTAAGGTGTAAACTCCCACAGGAAGAACATGGATTAGAACCTCTGCAGAGCACCACAGTGCTGTGCCATCCACACTCCTGCTTCCAGGCATTTGGAGAGGAGCAGAGCTGGGTGGGGAGGGGCACAGCTCATGATTTCTGGTCTGCTAGCCAGCAGCTTGTAGGTGCATCTGTTCTCCTGGGCTTAAGTCTGCTGGTAAGGCATTGCCAAGAGCTGCTGCTGCCCTTTCCTCTTCCTGCCCATGTCCCATATCCAGCTCCATCCCACCATGATTCCATTATCCCTGTGGCAAGACAGGGATAACAAGTTGAAATTTGGGATGTCCCTGTGATGCTGAGTTGGATTTTGTTTCTTCATCTTCTGTGGAGATCATCTGCTGGCTTTTGCAGGTAACAAGAGATTACTGGGTGCAGCAGTGTAGCAGCAGCAATGGCTTTGAACCTTTGACGTGATGCAGTTCAGGCTGGTTCTTTAGCAGTGCCTTGGTCTTATTTTGACTGCTGTATTTCTAGGATGACTGCACCAACAGAGGTGGAGTTTCTGATGAGCTTTCGAGTGAGGAGGAGGCTGAAGCAATGGCACAACGGCTCTTGGTACACCAGAATCTAGAAGGGGCTTCCAGTGACAACAGCTGTGAGGAGAAGAAAGAGAGGCCTCTTGTTTCTCTGAACCAGGCTGTCTCACAGGTACCCACGTTGAATTGATGCCATTTTCCACACAGCGTTTTTTGCTATGGATAAGAAGTTTTCCTTTGGTTTTGGCAGGTCAAGGAAGCCCTGAAAAATACCAGAGACTCTGATAGCGTCATGGAATCTGAACTAGAATCCACATTATACGGTCAGGTATGGCCATAAATACAAGAGTCAGAGCTTTACTGAGCAGGGACAGTGCAGGGCTGTCCTCCCCATCACAACAGACCAGTATTAAACAACAGCACTTCAGCATCTTCATATGTAAGTTGTGGCCTCCCTGCTTGTTTGCAGCTTCATAAACTTTGTTCACCATTGGGAGTATAATACTCTGTTTAACAAAACCAGCCAAACAACCCAAAAAGTCCCTCTTGGCAGCACAGTTTAGGCCAAGCTGCCTCTAATTGCTTGGTTTGAATTTCAGCAGTTGCTTTTGTGGTTTGGGAGGCAGCTCTGTGTTGTAACTGTAATAAATCTTGGTTTTAAACAGTGGAAATGAATCTATTCTGTCACATATACACATTCACTTCCTTCCTTATCTTGCCCTCTGCCACTGCCACCACCTGAAGATGAAATAGAAATATATAGGCTGTCAAATGCTAGATCTAAAAATCCATAAATCTAAAATAGAAATGAAATCTTAAAATGGCTTATGTGAAAGTCAGAAAACTTTTGCATTCGAATGAATGAGTCAGGTTTGATTTTGTCACGTTGGGGAATTAATGCTGCCTGTGTGACTTCAGGGCAGTTCTCAGCTGTCCTGGAAGCTGGTTCTGCACACTGGGTGTGCACTGGGTGAAGTTTGCTTTTCCTCATAGGATCTGAGGTCCTGCATTAACATGGGATCCCGGGGCTGTAGCGTGATCCGCAGAGACTCCGAAAGCACTCGCCATGACTCGGAGACAGAAGACATGCTCTGGGATGATCTGCTCCACGGGCCCGAGTGCCGCTCGTCCTGCACCAGCGACAGCGAGGAGATCACTGTGAGGGATTCCCGGCGGGATGCCAAGGAGGATGTTTTCCAGCAGGTTTGTTGGTTTGTGCCCAGTAACGGAGAACGCTGTGAAAGGTTCCACACCCCCCTTCCTCCTGTATGCCCAAATAATATGAGAGACCCATCTGAGTGCTGTTGGTGTGATGGGAGCAGCCTAATGCTGGGTGAGCCCACCCTGTCAGCCGTGTTAATCACCTGGATGTCTGTGATGATCTAAGTAGCATCAGTGATCAACTCCCTCCTCCCTATCCTGACTACTGCTCGACCTGAAGCAAAGTGGTTCACCCAAGGACAAACTGGAATCTCCCCTCTCAATCTAGGGAGATTCCTAGGAAGCAGTGTTATGTAACAGTGGGACAGAAATGATGATACAGCTTTTGCATTCTTTTCTGTTTTATAGAAGCATTTGTTTTGGCTGCAGAATACAAGTCCAGCATCTGCAAAAGTGAGCGCGCTGATCTGGGAAGGGAATGACTGCAAGAAGGTGGACATGTCTGTGCTGGAGATCAGTGGGATTATCATGAGCAGGGTAAGAGGGCTTCAGAGCATTGCAACCTCCCCCTCACACTAAAAAGCAACCACCAGACAACCTGACGATCTTTATGTGCAGATGTGAAGTGCAGCATAAAAGTGCTCCTTCCTCAGTGGCCAATACATTTCTGTGTGTTCTTAACTTAAAAAATGCACAAAACAAAGCTGAGGAGGTCCTGTTGAAGGCTAATGAATCCCAGCCTGGTTTGGGTTGAAGGGACCTTAAAGCTCACCCAGTTCCAACGTGGGCAGGGACCCCTTCCACTGGAGCAGCTTGCTCCAAGCCCCTGTGTCCAACCTGGCCTTGAGCACTGCCAGGGATGGGGCAGCCACAGCTTCTCTGGGCACCCTGTGCCAGCGCCTCAGCACCCTCACAGGGAAGAGCTTCTGCCTAAGAGCTCAGCTCAGTCTCCCCTCTTTCTTTGCAGTGAGTGCTGATTGCTGTTGGCTGTGTCTCTGCAGTGGGCTCAAGGTGGTTTGATGATTTATTGACTGATTGTTGCTGCTTTTGGAATGAAATGGATGGAATTATTTTAGGCTCTGTCCTTTGAAGAGAAGGGGAACCGAATCCTTGATTGAATTGCTTCTGCCACAGCAGCATGCCTTCTCCTTGATGCAAAACACATGTAAATCACCCTGGTTTTGTTCCTGCTTGCCAGGTTAATGCTTACCAGCAAGGAGTGGGCTATCAAATGCTGGGGAACATCCTCACCATCGGCCTAGCGTTCCTACCGTTCCTCTACAGACTCTTCCGCGCAGACAACCTGGAGCAGCTCTGCTCCATTTCTCTAAAGGAGCTTCTGCACATCTTCTGCGGGGCACCCGCAAGCACTCCCGTCCTTGTTTTGTCTGCAATCAACTTCCTGGAGAGACTTTGCTTGACGTGGATGTTCTTCTTCATGATGTGTGTTGCTGAGCGAACATACAAGCAGGTGGGTTTAAGCATCCTGTTGCCTATCATGAACCCTGGTGTGGGTGTCCTACCAAAATCATGCTGCTGTTGAAGATGCTGGCAAGACAAGTGTGTCTTAGCAAGCTGTGGTGTCAAAGCTGGTAATAGGTCCATGAGATTTAGGGCTGGAAGGGACCTTAAAGCTCCTCCAGCTCCACCTCCCTGCCATGGGCAGGGACACCTTCCACTAGACTGGCTTGTTCCAAGCCCGGTCCGCAGAGGCCCCAGGAGCCCCTGTTAAGCTTTCCCAAGGTGCCACAACCTTTCCTGCCAGTTACCACCAAGCGATCCCAAGCAGTCTCGTTTGGTTTAGACTGATTGATGTTGTGTATGTTTTTGGTTTGAATTCGCAGAGGTTTTTGTTTGCCAAGCTTTTTAGTCACATCACATCTGCTCGGAAAGCCAGGAAATACGAAATCCCTCACTTCAGACTCAAGAAGGTAGAAAACATTAAGATCTGGTTATCCCTTCGGTCCTACCTAAAGGTGAGTTCTGAGCCAGGATTTGGTTGTCACTGAGGGCACAAGTGAGGCTCTCAGTACAGGCTCTGCTGTCCCTGGCAGCACTGCTTGAGTCACTGAACAAGCAGAGCTTGGACCTCAGAGCTCCACATCCCTCTCAGCCCTGACTCGGTGTCTTTGTTTTGGCAGAGGCGAGGCCCCCAGCGCTCTGTGGATGTTGTTGTGTCCTCAATCTTTTTACTGGCTCTCTCAATCGCTTTTATATGCTGCGCCCAGGTGAGATTTGAACCTTTTCCTTTAAGGAAGTAGGGGGAAAAACCCCAAATTACTGGAGGCTTTTGCCAGCCTTCAAAGTGCTTGAACTGTAGTTGTTTGTCACCAGAATAATGCAGTGGGTTGTGTTTTGAAAAGCTTTGTATTGCTTAGTTGGTAGTGGACAGTAATTCTCTATGGTTAGGTATTATTTCTCTCTGTTTAGATATGAATTCTGTCTGCAGAGGATAGTCTGGGGGGTTATAATCATTAAGGACATCATTGGAGAGGACTCTGCCCCGGTATCTCAAGTGTTCACAGGGCCTGTTACTGAAGAGGGCTGACTGCAGCTGCTGAGAAGCGGGTCCATAGCTTCAGTTACACTTCACTAAGCCTCCTGTTGGAGGAAGCACTGTTAGTATTGGAGTAGTTTCTTGGTTTGATTTTGGCAAGAGATCCATTAGATTGTTCATCAGATTCGTGCTACCCCGGCACCACCGCTGCGGTAGCAGTGAGGTTGGTGGGCAGGAGCTACTGCCTCTGCTGTGATGGCTTTTTGTAAGCCACAGGTTTCTGGAGGGAGGTAACGACAGACCCAGCAAACACATCCTGGGGAAGGCAGGATCAGTGCAGCCGGGCTGGGCTGGGCTGAGGCTTGCCCTTGGGACAAGCACAGGTGAAAGACCATTTATTGCCCATTAACTGGCAAGAGGGAGGAAAGAACCAAGTGTTCTGTTCTAAGCACAAAGATCAGAACTCCATGCTAAAGCCAGGTTGGAAAGAAGACTTTTTAGTGCAACCTGGTTGCAGGGGTGAATTGCACTCCTGGGGAAAGGGTTCAGCAGCTCCAGAGCATGGATCTGTTCAGAAGGGGAGCAGGGGTAATGCTTTGGTGCTTTTCCTCAGGACAGGCATGTTCCTTGTTACTTTTCCCCTTGCAGGTTCTTAAGGGCCACAAAACATTTCTGAATGCAGCTTACAACTGGGAGTTCCTCATCTGGGAGGCAGCACTTCTGCTCTTTTTACTGCGCCTGGCATCTTTGGGCTCTGAAACCAATAAGAAATACAGCAACATTTCCATCTTGCTCACAGAGCAGGTATCTCTGTTTTGTGGCATGTTTAGATAGAATCACTGTATTTCAAACCAGCTTAGAAACCTTAAATTGAAGTTAAATTAGAGCTTCACCCCTGTGCTGGACTAAAGCTCTGTGCAGCTGGGGAGGGATGAGCTGGCACAGCTTTGGGCAGACCCAGCAGCTAAGACTCTGGCTGAGTTTTGGCTCCGGGTTAACATGTGCCCTATCAGCCACAAAGAGAGTATGATCACTGCTGACTTCCTGTCTGTGGATGCATCACATCTTCAGCAAGGGCAAGAGACTGCAAGAACAGCTCCAGTTCCCACCGTTAGGAATCACCTGGGGGCTGTTGCCTGGAGCATTAACATCTGATCTGTAACATCTCTGTCACAGATAAACTTATTCCTAAAGATGGAGAAGAAGCCAAACAAGAAAGAGCAGCTGTCTCTGGTAAACAACGTTTTGAAGCTATCCACAAAGCTACTGAAGGTGAGCTGCTGCTCTCCCCAACACTGGGGTTTTACAGAAGCAGTGACTAAAGACACTGCCTGGTTTCCCTCTTCCCATTTCTCTTGTCCTTGCTAAGGCAAGTTCCTAGAATCCTAGAATAGTTTGGGTTGGAAGGGACCTCAAAGCTCCTCCAGCTCCAACCCCTGCCACGGGCAGGGACCCCTTCCACTGGAGCAGCTTGCTCCAAGCCCCTGTGTCCAACCTGGCCTTGAGCACTGCCAGGGATGGGGCAGCCACAGCTTCTCTGGGCACCCTGTGCCAGCGCCTCAGCACCCTCACAGGGAAGAGCTTCTGCCTAAGAGCTCAGCTCAGTCTCCCCTCGGGCAGGTTCAAGCCATTCCCCTTGGCCTGGCCCTACAGGCCCTTGTCCCAAGCCCCTCTCCAGGTTTCCTGCATCCCCTTTAGGCACTGGAGCTGCTCTCAGGTCTCCCCTTCAGGAGCTTTCTCTTCTCAATCCCAGCTCTCTCAACCTGTCTTCTACAACAGAAGCTCAGGCAATACAGGACCAGTGTGGTTAATTAGTCCTGCAGCCATTTGATTAGTGGTGGCTTGCTGCATCTTAGATCAGTGAGAGGAGAAGCTCATCCAAACACAGCATCTTTCCTTATTGCTTGAAGTCATCTTCCTTCAGCAGCTTCAGCACTGAAGCTTGTTGAGAGGAGCAGAGTAGGTATTTGGAAAAGAGCAGAGTCTGAGTCAAGTTAGCTCTTTGGATGAAGCTGTTATGACCCAAGCAGAGTGGCAAAGGAGCCTCCTCAGATTCAGCAGTTAGAAAATGCCTTTGAGCTGGGAGGCCTGAAATAGAGGGGCAGTTTCTGTATGTACATTTAAGAAAGGATATGGAGGCAGTGCATGGTTGGCAGGGCTGCCAGGGAGCTGGTGTTATGCTAAGAGTCAGGATTAATTGCTCCTGATGCTAATGGACTTTTTTCCTGGTCTCTACAGGAGCTGGATACTCCATTCAGGCTCTATGGGCTGACCATGAACCCATTAATTTACAACATAACCCGGGTTGTAATACTCTCTGCTGTCTCAGGTGTTATAAGTGATCTTCTAGGATTCAACATCAGAGTAAGTACAGCTCTGACCCACACAAATGCATCACTTGTGCTGCAGACACCTTCCTCTGCCCCAGCAGGAAGGTTGGGGTTTGAATCAGGCTCCTGCTATGGAGTAGTTCAGAGAACAGACCTTGTACCCCCTCTGCTCCCTGAGTCAGATCTGGGGGGAAGGACAAGGATGAGTTAAATTTCAGCCCTGTTCAGGTCTGTGTTGCCCACTTAAAGCCACTGGCCTCGTGTGTCGTTCCCTTTGGAAGGATAACCCAGTCCTCCTGTGGCTCACACTTAAACTGGAGCATTCAGCACAGGCTGGGCAAGGAGACGGACTCTTACCTGCAGCTGAAACCCCCTCAGGCCATCAGCTTTCAGACCCAGACTCACGCTCCCAATCTCTTTTCAGTTATGGAAAATTAAACCATGAAGTGACCGGACATCAGCACCTGACAGCCCCACCAGAGAAGAGAGGCAAGAGCCTGGGTGAATGCAGAGGTGTTCTCCAGCTGCAGGTTTTAAACAGGTTCTCCCTCTGCTTTCGTGTTCTGCAGCAGACAGAATGAACTGGTCACCCCGTGGCCCATGCACACGGCAGAACAGAGTTAATGGGGTCAGATGGGAGGAGCTGCGCTGCAAGGAGCAGAACTGGGCACAGCCTGCGTGGGGCACAGGCCCCCAACAGCAGTGTGAGTGCCCTGAGCTCTGGCTGGAGGGACAGTGATGGGGCCGCAGGTGCCTTGTTCTCTGCATGTGATGTGAAGGGCCAGCCCTGCTCTTGGTGAGCACCGTCCTGCTGGAGAGCTCTGGAGCTACACTGAGCTTCATCTGAGCATCCTCCAGTGCTCTCTCGGACTGATTATGCCCAGATGCATTTATCTGACTGTGCTGAAGAGCGTTTCTTTCCTTCTAAGCTCAGTGTGCTGGAGGCCCTGCCTCTCTCCTGAACCTCTGCAGCAGGCACTGGAATGTGATCTGCACAAGATGAATTCTGCTTCCATGCTGACAAGCAAACAGTAACAGATTCGTGCCCCTTGGCTAATGCTGGGTCTTCTGCAACTGAACAATGCTCACTTTTTGCCAACCTTAGTTACATGAGAACAGGGCTCCAGCACAACCGATAGGTAAAGCCTTTATCAGTGTATTCTGTGTTCATCCCCTGTCGTGTCTTGTTCTGGTGGTGGTGGGAGAAGCTGCTGCAGGTCGGTGCTGCAGTGGTGCACGCAAGGGGAGAAAGCTGCAGGGAGGATCAGACACGGCACAGGCTTCCTCCTCACAAGCTTGGGAAGGAGATGGGGGGGGAACAGAATATTTTCAAGGCATCTCTTAAAGCCCCATTTCCCTTAACTGCCTCTAATCCCTTCTATTTATTATGAATAAACCAAGCAAAAACGGAGGCACTGTTCATAGCTTCATTCTTTCACAGAAGGGGGGAGATGGCAGCAGAACTTCTGGCGGTGCGTCGAGTCGGTTACAGCCATTCTGTACAAGGAGAAGTTGTGAAGAGGGAAAAGGAGATGACAATTTCATATATCAAAATGTACAAATAAACCTCCAGTACAGGGACTGCAGCAGTAAGAACCGTTTCTCTATGACTTGTACCACCTCTGGTATTTGAACAGGGACTCAACTGCATTTGTTTTCTGGAAGGGCACGATGGTTGGAGGAAGGACCTGGGTCAGGGATGCAGCTGGTTTAAGGTATCACACCACTGAAATCTGTTTTATACAGTGCAGATCCAACAGGCCAGGAACTGGAGTTTCTTTTTAATATCTATATAAAAAATAATGAGCGATTTACAGGTCTCTCTCTAGGCAGAACCTCAGAAGTATGTATAAAGGTGCTGTACAATATATAAACATTTACACCCAGTACATCCATACATTGCTTAGCATTCCAAGGCCACGTCGCTAAGTCATCGGATACAGTCGGAACAGGATACAAGTTCTATGGAAGGAGAAATCACACACAAGGAGGGCACTAGATCAGGTCACAGTAACAGAAAAAAGAGGTGGTCATGACAGGGTTTCGGTGGTGTTAAGTCACCTTGGTATTCAATGTCTGAATTTGTGACTGTGCTCGGTGGTCAGGGCAAGTGCATACGACTCCACGTAGAACAGAATCTCTGGGTAAGAATACAGGGTTAATATCTACACAGGCTACTTCAAAGTATCAATATCTTCACAGTCATACTCCCCTAAGGGGGTATTTGTACGTATTATGCTACACAGCAACTCTCAATGGGCCACCCGAGGTCCAGCAGCAGAGAACAGTTCAGTTTGGCTTTAAAGCCGGCTTCATTTCCAAAGTCTTTGTTCGAGCAGCATCCATACTGCTGAAGAATTCCACTTGGAACTGATGCCCTGTGCTTTGTTACGCTTTAGGAAACATTTCATGTTTCAAAGCCCAAATGAGATCTTCACTCATTCAAACAGCAAGTCCTATTAGTCTGAATTCGGAGGTGAGTACATAAAGCTTGGCCTTTGACACTTCCTTCTCCAAACTGCACCAATGGGCTCCTCTTACCACTTTATACAGCCTCCGAAAACCTGTCAGGAAATCATTGCTAAAAGGATGAATAAAACAAACCTCTTCCATTTATGCAGCCTGCTGTTCTTCCAGCTGTCAGACTGATGCATCCGATGGCATCACTCCTCTCTTTAAAACAGGTATTCTAGCCCAAACAATAGATATTAAGCCTCATGTACCCTGTATATCACATATTTAGTGCTCTTAGAACAGATCACACGTTCAAAGTAAAATATGGGAGATGTCCAATCGACGCAGGCAGGAGTGAGAAGCTGGTTCTGTCCTAAAGGTCACCCGGTTTCATAGAGAAGGGAAAAAAACCTCATTCCCAACTGGCATTACATGAAGTAATTCTGGGATTCAGGACACAGCAGCACAGCGAGGCTGAAGGTGCACGCTCGCTGCTCACGCTGACCAAGCGCGCTGAGGGTACCACAAGTGAACCTGAAGAGATGCTGTTACTTAACAGACAGCAGGATTTCCAGATGCGTGCACAGAGATGTTCTAAGCATCCTGACAAGTCAAGAAAATAAAGCCATTTTGCCATGGTCATAACAAGCAAACTTACAAACCAGGGATTATGTCAAATATAGGTTTTACTTACAGGATTTTGTGGTAGGTATAAAAACGTAAGAAAACCTCTTAATGGAACAGCATCAGTGGCTCATTGCTGCCCTGGAATCAACAGAACCAACTCACCCATCATCTTACTGAGCCAGTAAGAACATGGGTGCTTCCTTGTGTAAACATGCAGCATGCTCTGGAGCAAACACCCACTTCAGACACTTGCCTTTTCCATGACTGGAGTACAGAGGAGAAGGATTAGAGGGAGTGGATACAACGGGTAACTTGGCACAAGAACAAGGAGTGAGTCATGATCACATCTGCGCTACAGGCATTAAATAATTTGTTCAGAACCTCACAATACTATCAGAGAAAGCTGCAGCAGTGCAACGATGAGCAGCAGAACACCGCCTTCAAAAGGGCAAGGGGACAGCAGCTTAGGAAGTTTCACTTAAGCAATCCAAAAGGTCCTTCATGCAGCTGAGATAATTTAAGAACAAATACTTTCCACCCTCTAACCAGTTTCTGGGAGAAAAAGGACAATTTTGGGCAACAAAACGATGCTTTTAAATGACCGCTATTAGAAACGTTGATTCAAACGGGTTCTAGAAAAGTGTCAGGCCCATTTTTCAGCCCCAGCTGCTGCTGGGGTGACTTTACAGGCGCTTGGTACCCTCCAAGGTCCAGGAGTGATTGATGTTTTCTTGGCTGGAGAACTACTCTCAGATTTGGAAACGCCATCATCTTTGGTTTCATCGGGCAGCTCCGTGTGTCTCTCTCCATGTGTAACAGGCTCCTGTGTTTCCAGCCTTCTGTGTTTCTCCATGGAAAGCAGTGGAATATTGGAAAGGCTGGAAGCCTTGAATCTGCTGGAACTTGGCTCACCAGAGTGTGAGTTCTTCACTTGTTCATCCTCAGGTGTGTTTCTCCTAGAGTCACTGAATGGAAGATGGTACCTGTCAAATGCTGCGTATTGTCTCTCTGGAGACCACCCTTCCCTCTTCCCACAGGTTTTCTGCTTTGTGTCTTTCCAGGTGACTCCAGTTTTACCACTTCCACCTTTCAATTGCTCAGCAGCCCTTTTATCACCACCAGCTGTTCTGTCTGGATATCCCTGTAACCTGCTGAGCGTTTCTACGCTCCCTTGCTTACCGAGATGCTTGTGGGGACTGGCAGATCTCCCTGGATTTCCACTGGAATGCTCTTTTCTGTTCATCCCTGTTTCTGTGGCTTTACTCTCACTCTTTCTGGAACCCTCAGGTTTATGGGAGAGATTGCCATAGGATTTTTCAGGATCCCCTTTTCTGTGGAACCCTGCCTGAGGGTGGCTCTCAGCAGCCCCAAACTTCTCTGGACTTGCCGATCTGTCTCTTCTCGTCCTCACTTCCAAAGTACCTTTTGTGATTTCAAACCCAGGACTGGAGGGACATTCCCATCTGTTCTTCGTTCTCTGGGGAGAAGACTGAGGCTTCCTCTCAAACTGGTTTTCAGTTAAAGTGCTTATCTTTTCAGGCACAGTGTTCTTTGCTTGTTCCACTTTCTCAGACAGCTGAACTCTTGTTAAAGCTTCTCCTGGTACTGGTAAATAACACACTTCTGATGGGGAAGCAGAATGTGAAGATGAAGATAATGGTGACTGTTCTTCATATATTACATTTGACGAAGAGGGATTAGAACTATCCCAATCACCTGGAAGTGAACAGGGGGAGATATGACTGAATGACTGGTAAAACCAAAGTAAAATATCCTAAGTACTTTAGAAACGTGCACACTACTGAGGTTTCAGGAGGTTGTATGCAATCATTACAGAGGACTATGTGCTGGCATACTCTTAAGGTCTTATTTAGTCAGTTTTCTATATTACACTGTTCCACAACCTACAACAACCGTAAGGATGTGATTTTGGAAGGAAACCCTTAGAATGCTGGTGTGATCTCTGCAGGACTGACAGAGGCTTGGATCAGCACAGCTTTAGAGCCTACACAGCAAAACAAAGTCCCTGAGCTACATTATTTAATGCAAGGAAACCAAATGAACTGAAATAGTTATGCTAAAGGAAAACTGAAACAGTGAAAAGTTGAGGTTATTCATAGCTTTGCATTTTAATAATAGGAAGAGATGAAACACAAGACATGCAGATTTACCAAGTCTTTAAGGAAAAACCAAGAAAAGCACTGAAAGCCCTTAATGTTGCTCAGGTTTCACGTAGGGACACAGACTGGAAGGAGCCAAACCTGAAGGAGGAAGAGAAAAAGCCCAGAACTATATACCAAAAATCACAGAGTACAGCAAGCAAGATTTCAATCAGAAATGTATCATTAACAGCGAGACAGGAGGCAACAAAACCCTTCCCTTCTCCACCACTGCTCATCTAAGTGGATTAACATCATCTCAGGCCCCACTTTGGACAGAGGGCTGGACC